TTGTTATTAGTTGTTAGTTTGTTAGATAGTTTGTTATATTTTTCTCTATAAATAAACTAGTGTGCAATGTAATTTCTCCAAGTTGAATGAACACATTCTTCTTCCCTGCTGCTACAGCAGGCTTCCATTTTCTTACCTGTAGTAAATTTCATTTCCTTCATGTTTTCTAATAGACCACAAATCAATTCCATTTTTTTATTAAACTTTAACACAGTCATGCTGGTAGTAAGAGCCACTTTATGTTTGGTTGCATTATATCTTGATGATGATAATTTAAGTATCATGAAAAATTATTTGTTGTTGAACACCTTGCAACGGATGAATCTACTCGGCACGTTGAACAAAATATTGTGAATTCTTTATGAGATTTTAATTTGATAAATAAAATATTTAGCTTGTCTTGTACAACAGTATGGTTACCAAAGCTATTTTACGACATTTGTAAAAGATATTTTTTTTCTTTTCATTCTGATAAGATGTTTTATGTTAAGTGCTATACCCAATGATACAATCTGATGCTCATATATTGAAAGATATTTTAGGTAAAATGGAGAATGCAAAATCGAAAATATGAAGACATAAACTTCACTTTTACCATAGTTTTCCTCGTGTTCTCCAAAACAATATCAATGAAATTTAATTTAATTTAATTTATTTCCACATAGATGTTGAAAGAAATTATAATAGTCTACGATCGTTACAGAAATGAGATAACTATTTTTTTTTTGTCATCAATAGTCTAGGAACATATGAAAATTAATAGAAGGTTGAAAATAAAAAAAATAAAAATAAAAAGTGGTAAAAATTGGTGATACGAGTGCAAAAATGAGAAAATGTTATGAAAATTCATTGCAATTAAAATGGGGCGTGTTTAAAAAAAATAATAAAATAAAATGTGGTGTTATTATAAGTACTAAATTATTTTTTCTTAATTAATAGGATATTTTCACTTCAGAACTAGAAAATTAGAAGTTTTCCTTGTATCCCAAGCATTTCAGACATCGCAAGCCACATACTATAATATTTAGTCCATGTT